CTCTCTCTGCTCTGACGAAATGAAAAGGCGCGGAGAGAAGAGAAGTTTCGCAAGTTTGTTTTATGTTTAATGGAGTTTTTGAAAATGAAAAAGCGGATTATAATTATAATAAGTTAATAACACCATGGTTCATGTAATGTGTACTGAATTTTCATTTTAATATTTTTTTAACATATACACTGGATAAAGATTAAATCAGGAAAATAAGTAAGTATACCTTCTCTACCGATTTAATACCATTTAAACCTCTTTAATGATTTATGTAGAATTTAGATTTGTAGAAGGAAAAAAGTCCATGCAAAATCCATTTAAAAAAAAAAAATCCAATGTAGCATTGCTAAATCAAGACTTTTCTGTAGCATTACTAAATTAGTTTATTTCTACATTGAAAACCTTTTGACACAATAAAATCCAATTTAACATTTAGATTTCTATATTATATAATAAATTTTATTTAAAACAATGTGAGAACTGAGAAGTATTATTAAGAAAAAAAAAAAGAACGATATAGTTAATTTTTCAACTTTATATAACAGATTTATGTAGGTATTTTTAAATTTCTACTTTTATTAATAAGAAACATATAGTTTTAAACTATTGGTTATATGATCGATCTATGATGTTGTATATATACTCCATATGTTTCAATATATATGATGTTTTGGAGATTTTAGTTTGTCTCGAAATATAAGACGGTCTTTGATGTATTTTTTAGTGTTTGAAATGTAAGTACAATGCCGGCTTACAATCTAAGTACACAACAAATCGTTGGTAGATGGATATTACGTGATCATTTAGGATCTGCAAAAAAATTGGTGATTCGCAAACTTCAGAGCATTGAAAGCAGAAGCTAAGGCCTTGTTAATTGCGATTCAAATTGTTTTGAAGGTGATCGTCAATTTCTAGTGAAGCTATACTTTAAGGACAAGAGGTATTGAGGTTCCAGTTTCAAGATTCAATGTTTTCAAAGCACCAAAAGAAAAAGAAATGGAATATCTCAAGAAGATCAAAGATGCAAGAAGGGAACAAACCATAGAGCATCCTTGATGTTTAAGTTGGAGAGACCGGGGAAGCGTTTGATGGTCTTTGTAACAAAATTGTACACACAGACGTCGAGGTATGAACATTTCTTGCTGCGGACACGGTCATGACGGGTGAAATATATGGAGTTTGGCTCGATACCACGGGTATGGTCAGCAGGCACAGTGATACCTGAATCCAGAAGCAGGGCCTCATCGCCTAGAGAATCAACCTCAACAAGCTTGGTTAAGTCTAGAAGATCATCAGGGTCTGAATTAGGATCCATCTTGTACAGGGTGAAGCTCTTATGCTTGGTTGGCCTGCAAAGGTTGCTCACGACCAACAAAACCTCTCCTGATGTTGTAACAGCAATGTTATTGTCTGAGCTGATGACAAAATCATATGTGAATTCATCTGTGCGTATTTTTTCAACAGCCATTGGTAATTTCTGACTCTCATACACATTCTTGTCCAGACAAATCCACGAGTCGAGGGTATCTACGTTCCGTAGAGACGGTCACCGCATAGTACCATATCAGATAAGCCTAGTAACTCCTCCATGTGTGCTGTAATCTCACGGTAATGACCTTCCCCGTTCTTGCAAAAGCCTATGTAATTGGAATTGGAACGGATCGAGTTAAAACACCACACAACAATGTACTCTTCCATCTTCTCATCTACCCGTAAAACACCTCTAAGATTTTCTGCACTCTGGATTACACGATATCCACAGCTAATTAATTCCTCCTTGAATTCCTCGTCTCCTAGTCGCTCGAGACTATAAAGACCACCCTTGATTGACTCTAGAGGTGGAAGATCGATCCTCTTCTCGCTAAACACATCTATAATACAGAGTTGCGATCGAGAATCTACCACAAGGAACCACTTACCCGAGTTTGGCAGGAATCTAATCCCTGAGAAGTCACGCTTCGGCTTGTAAACCCTATCTTCGTCCGGGTTGTACAGCACGCAACCATCCTTTGGAAACAGCATCAGCCAGGGCGGTCCGCTTTTCAGGAGCAACGTTTGCTTTGAACACAAGTACCAATTCGAACAGGCCATCTTAGCGCGGTGGAAATCCGCAAAATTCAAACGTTCCAACAGAGATATCAAGATGTCCATAGGGAGCTCCGACCAGCTGCTAGAATTAGGAGTCTCCATGCTTTTGTGTGTTTCTCAACAAAGAATTTGATTGTGTATACACGATGATAGTCCTACTTCCAAACTTCATCAAAGTATGAAATTGACCTTTTTCCGTGATTCATTAGGAAAAATATAAGGATTTTTCCTTTTTTACTTAAACTTCAAAAGAAAATTTCCTTTTTTTTACCAGACACCTTATTTTATGTGATTATATAATCCAAATACAGAGAATCCATATTTAATTTGGGACTGTATAAGTATTGTCCGGCGTTGTGCACATAGATAATATATTAAGATTAGTGTAACAAAATTGAAAGACTGTTACTTACTCTTCCAAATGGTTCGTTTTATTT